TCCATTTCCTCCTTTTCTCAGAAAAATCTTGCCTCACGCGGAGCCACGGCTCCTGGACTTCACAGGCAGCGAAGCCGAGTGCTTACAGTGGAGTCGTTTGAGCAGAACTGATGTGTGGTGAAAAAAAAGAAGACAAAGAAAGAAGAAGAAGAGGAGCAGCAGCAGCCAACTGCCTCTGGTCACGGCCGTCTCACTGAGACGAGACATTTCCATACAATTAGTCCAAACAGCCTCAGCCGAGGCAACGGAACAAAGAGTCGGTTTTTCTCGCTGAGAGGCAACGGAACAAAGAGTCAGTTTTTCTCGCTGAGTGTCCTGTTTCTGAAGAAGAAGAAGATGAAGAGTTGGACAGTTTATAGATGAAGAAGAGTTGGAGAGTTTATAGATGAAGAAGAGCTGGAGAGTTCATAGATGAAGAAGAGTTGGAGAGTTCATAGATGAAGAAGAGCTGGAGAGTTCATAGATGAAGAAGAGTTGGAGAGTTCATAGATGAAGAGACAGACAGGCTCAAACCCAGAACCTTTTGCATGTAAGGCAAGCCCTAATATCCACAACACTGTGGAACCACAATACCAAATTGTAGCTGTGTTGTTCCAGTTCCTCTGGTACCGATCCTTCAAATCATCATCCATTTGCTCAGAACATCATTACTAGTATAATGCAAAACGAATGCATTTGTTTTGATCTGATGCACAAACCTTACGTAACATCTTTGTTAAGTGACGTCTGTCTAACGTCTGGAGGAACAAAACCAGACGTTGTAAGTTGTCGACTGTTGATTCTGTGATTGTGAAATAATACAGTAAACAAAAAAAAAACAAAGACTTTAACACAGGAGTCGTGCCAACGCCGCACCCAAGCACCCTGGGAAACACTCAGCCCTGAGGAGGCGTGCCGCCACACGCTGTGTTTCTGGTCTGGGTGTCCACACAGACGCTCACCGCGACCCGCTCCGTTTTAATGGAAACCTTATTTTTTATTGATGAAATCGTTACCTGCAACTTCCCTGAGAGTCAGGAGAGTCCATAATGTAAGGCTAAATAATTCACCGAGCAGGCACAGGGTGTATCCGCCTCCGACTCAAGTGGGTCTAAAATTATCACATCTCCTCAGTGGGAAAGAGAGAAGACACAGCGTGTCCTTCGTCGCTGCGCTCTGTGTGAGAAATGATTTGTTTGTGGTGTATTTCGGGGCGAGGCTTGTGACTTTAATCTGGGACGATGTCACGTTTGGAGCCAGAGATATTCCACGTCACACCTCGGCTCTGGCAGAGAGTCGAGCGCAATTAATGTGCAATTAAAATTTCATCCGCATTAAAAATACAGGAGACGGAACCGAGCTTTTAACAGGGACAGTTAAACTTAGACCCGAGTTAACGTTTAACATCAGCACGTGGCCACTTCAAAGACTTCAAAGACTTCAAAGACTTCATCATATTGAACCACAATCAACTCTTTGTTCTGTGATTTGTTTCAAACTTTCCTCGCACACTGCTCCAGTGACGTAAAAACGTAAAAATAAATTTAAGGATTTAGGATACGTTCACGTCTGTCTGAACAGGCAACAACAGAAGAAGGAAATGAAAATCAACGATTACCGTATTTTGCGGACTATAAGTCGGACTTTTAGCCACTAGAGGGCACTCTAGACTT